GTGAGGGAATTCTGTGTAATGGGATGAGCCCAGGAGGATGGAACCAGCAAAAGGTCCGGACCACGGCTCTGTTCATTTACAGTGAAGAGTTGGAGGAAATAAAGCCCTGGCTGGGCCGTCCGGTGTTGCCCAGAGGAGCTCAGGCAAACGATGAATGACACTCTTTGCACATGCTGTTCCCTTGGTCTGGAACGCTCTTTCCCTGCTTCCCCTGACTTTTACTCTTCAAGCCTCAGCTGAGGCATTTCCTCTTCCAGGAAGCCTTCCCAGGCTTTGCTCTTCTTGTTCCTCCCAAGTGGGGCTGGGGCTCCCATGCTCCCCAGTGCTTACTCCATCCTTGCACTGAGCATGCAGTCTGTTTACTAAACTGGCTCCCCGCCAGCAGTGATCTTTTGTTCCTATCTTATTTCCCAGCCCCAGTCCATTACCTGGTACTGTGCAGGGCTCAACCCAGGCCTGGTGAATGGATGAACAGATGTACGTGGACGAGGAATGGGGGCAGGGGAATTCTGGGGCTCTCGGGTTCTACGTGCCTGAGATGCTGGAGTGGACTCCAAAACTAAGCTCCCTAGGACCGTAGGAGGCCGCTGAGAGCCACATCCAGCCAAATCCTGCTCTCACACCCAGTTCCAAGCCAGAGGGCCAAGGGTTGCAAAGCTCCGTACTGGGGCTACAGTGGTGACCGCCTGGGGTCAATGGAATGCACCCTCCACCCTACAGTTAATCTTAGGATGGAACTAGGAGCCCAGGGAGAGGGTGAGTCTGCTCGGGAGGCAGCCCCTCCAGGGAAAGGCCGGTAACAAGTAGGAGAATTCTAGTTAAGTAGGGATCCCGAGACCAAGGGAGGCAAAACCAAACAAAGCACATTTTGGTGGTCACTTCATTTCTGATAAGCTTTTTTATGTTTGGCTAATCAAAGTGGGAACTAGGGAACCTCACTGAGGGCAGGGGGAGTATATGGGCTCCTCCTCCCAATGTGTAGCTTTGCAAAAACACCACATGAAAAAGTAGGTATTAGGCAATTCTAAGCCACTCCACATTATCTATTTTCTTCCAACTTTTCTAAAACACAGAAGCCTTTATAGACTCGCATAATCATTCCAAGGCCCTCTTTCCCGCAACCACTGCAGAGCCCATGAGAGAAAGTCACCCCTGCGTGCTGGTAAATGCTCTTTGGAGGGAAAAAAGAAAAATCAAAGATTTCGGTGTTTGCCAATTTTTATGGTGTAAATACTCCCACCCTGGCTGATTTCGAGCCACCAAGGTGAAACCTCTGACTGTGAAGTTGGGAAGAGATGTTGCTACAAGCCGCCCCAGCACCGCTGGCTCCAAGACATGCGTTAACACCCACCCTGGCCTCCTGTGGACAGAAGCTGGAGAAGCTCGCTCTGCACCTACCTCTCTCGAAGGAATTTTTGATGTCATTGACTTCAACCTGAGATCCTGGCACTCTGAAGATCCCTTGCTGCTGGAGTCCTAAAAGATATAAGAAGAAATAAACAATCAACAACAAAAAAAGACAAAGAACACGCATTGAGCTCATCAGACCACCAGGAACATCCCTGACTCTCTCCACTGCTGGTCTCTTTCTCCCACCATCCTTTGCAACAGAGTCATTCCCGATGACTGCCTCCTGGCAGAGGCCCCAAGGAGCCTTTGTGATGGATTCCAGCTGGCCAGAATGCCCAGACCCATCCTGCTTCACATGTCTAGAATCTCCTGTTTGGGTGATGCTATCAGCACTGGCCCAGTGAATAACTTCTACTTTAACCCACAGGTCAGCTCAGTCAAACAACCGGGTGGTAAATTCTGCCTACCAAGTTCGCCTACTACACGGGTGTCGAGTACCTTGGCCTGCGTTTACAAATGCCCTGAGTTTAACAGCCACAGAGATTTTGAACAAGAATAATTAATGCCACTTCCTCAACCATGCCCTCCCTACCCACCCCATCACAGGCATCTTCTTCCTTCAAGAAAAGCTAGAGTCGAGAGTGCATGCTGGCTTGGGCTCAAGCACTCTGGGGGAGATCAGCTTATTAAAGAAAGCAATCTCATTTCAATGTGTTCCTGGGAGGCCAGAACAAAGAGGAGGCCCTGACACCTGACACAGCAGTGATGACAAAACAGCGACCTACAGAACTGAAGGAATCAGAGGGCCTCCCTCATCCGAAATGGGAATTAATGGGGGAGACTGGGATCTTTCCTCTGAGATTCAGTTTTTCTACAGAAAACAACCCTTACCATTATAATTCAGGAAAGCCTTTACCCTTAAAGGCAGGCTCTAGTCAAAGTTTGGTTTGTACACAGCATGTGCTCAGTAAACGTTGCTCATTTCTCTTGTTAACCAACCCTGAATCTCTACCATCTGTGTCTTTTATCCCGGCCTCCTGGCTCATTCCTGTCCTCCTGGCCTTCCTGCCCGTGTTAGGCCTTTGAAAGTGTCATTCTCTCCACCTGGGCTCGTGGCCATCACCCCTCGGAGATGCCTTCACTGCCTTAGCCAAAGCAGCCCTGCCCCCTCCAGCCACTCTCTATCCCCATTTAATGATTTTCTTGGCACTATCACTATCTGAAATATTATTTCTCTGCTTGCTTACTTCTTTGCCCTTCTAATTGGTCACGTAAGCTATCTAGGGCCAGCATCCTACCTGTCTTGCTCATGGCTATACTCCCGTTGTCAAAACCAGTGCCTGCTATGAGCTCCAGAAATATATTTTGGAGGAACAAATAAATGAATAGATGGAGGCACAAGGCAAGTGCTGGGGACAGCATGGATGGAGCAAACCCCAGACACTGCATTCCCTCCATGGAGCTCACAACAGTCCAGCAGGACCAAGTGACTGTCAGCCAGCGACGTTCGGCACTCAAAGGGCCGACCTCTGCGGTGGGGTGGGAGCCAGGAAGGAACGAATCCGGTTCTCCCACATGCTGTCCCGGCTCCTCAGTCTTCCTAGCTCCTGAGTCTCCTCAGCACCACCTTCAGCCCTGCCTACACACGAGGCCCGACAGTAACACTCAGAACAGCAGCTGTTCCACGGGGCGAGTTCCCTCTAGGAAGCAGAGCAGCAACAGGAAGATCTTCCAAGATGAATCAGAATCTCATTTCTTAGGAGTACAGCCTGGCTGGCACCCGTTCTGAAAACACCACCCCAAGATCACGCTTACCGTACAAATTGATGTATCGGATGCAGCTCTCGACGACAAGCGGGATCGCTTGTCCTGAGTCCTTGAGGAAAAAAAGTCATGAGTTGTATTGGGCTTGGCAACCACCACAGGAAAAAGACACTGCAAACTCGGTTATAAAATCAAGCCAGAATATTAGTACCGTCAGATTAGTAGGAAAACAAGCAAGGAACTGCTAATCTCAGTCTCCACCAATAGGTAAAGTAGAAAGTCTTCCGTTACTGCAGAAAAGGCATAGCTATGATAGTTTTAAAGAAATGCTCTGTCTTCCTACTCAGCTGGGGAGGAATCAGGGCCCAGAGGCCCGACAGGTACATCTGGGGAGGGGAGAGGGCCCACCGCGTGGAGGGGGCTGTAGGTCCTGATGCCAGAAAGAAGAACACACTATGGGGGAAGCCAGGCTGGCCCCAGAGGGCCTTCCAAGCTCTGCAGAGGGAAGACCATTTCTAAACTTACAACTTAAAAACTCTCTTTAAAAGGAGCCACATTAAATTGCTAGCCTCCTGAGAAGGTGGGGAAGCAATGAGGCATACACAGTATGCTCTTGTAAAGGGACACAGAAAAAACCACGACTTTGGATACTTCAGCAGCTCCTCCACATCCTATCCTGATGAACTACAGTCACAGAGAGGATAACAAAGTGGACTCTTTGCCAACAGGCAAGGTGGGCCCAGTGCTAGAAGTCAGGATTAAAAACAGGTTCCATCCAGTTGGATGGGGCTAACGGACCTTTCTAGTAAATACCTGGTTCCTGGTTCGAGCATTTCTTCTTCCTCTGATAACAAAAAATAAACAGGCAGCAGAGCAGGAGAAAAAGAAAAGATTATGCAGGAGTAAGATCAGTTAGAGTAAGCAGATCCTTCAGAGTCCGGGAAGGCCGAAATGCAGTGGCAGCCAGCAAAGGTCCGGGGGACGGCGTCCCTGCCGGTGGGGGGCGCCCTTCGGACACCGCAGGGCAAAGGGGTCTCTTTCAGTCCTTGTCAAGTGCAGGAATGGTGTGTGCTGAACCCTTCCTCACCCCATGTCTAGCTTCCCCTCAACACAGGGGCTGTTTATTCACCAGCAGACAAGAGCCCACCTAAGACCCCTTAAGGTTCGCCCAGCAGCCCACAGAAGGGAGGGACACACGCCCTCGCATGTCTGGGGTAATGCAGTCCCTGCAAGTCAGCTCTGGAAACCTCGCTCTTGGTTCTGAGTGAACCAGGATCGTGTTTACCAGGTGCCCTCTGGAGAGTACGCAACGGGATCCCACCTGGTTCCAAACTCCGCGCAGCCTCCCCTGCTTTCCTACCACATACCTGGGGTAGCTTTTCCTGCGTATCCACTTGGTTTCGCTCTCCCTCTACAGGGTGCCCTCGCCCTGGCGCTGAAAAGGCCTCAGGGAACCTAGAAGCTGACCAAGGCCTGGAGGAGGGAGGGCAGTGGAGTCAGATTGCCTTCACGATCTTACAGGCAGAACCGGAGCCTCTGTTCTCCCGGGAGTCGCCCATTTTCAGGGGCGCACTCACTGCCTCTTCCTTCTTCCTGGCTGTGCAGCGGGTCAGGCTCTGGGGTGCTGCTGTGTCTCACCCCAGCCCCTGGAGGAGGCCGCCCGACTGACAAACCCAGGATGTGCCTCTTTTTTCAGCTGGTGTCATCTGTCCAGCGCCTGGCACCTCGACAACTGGAATTAGCCTAAGCCTACCCGCAGCCTAGGCGGCCGTGCCAGATGGTCAGACGGGGCTCCACGCGCACTCCTGGGGACGCTCACTGATAGCCAGCACTTCCACGGGGCTTGCTGTGCGCCAGGCAGTGCTCGGGAAACACGGCGGGCGCTAGCTCATCCGATCCTCATCACACGCTCATGAGGTGGGTAATGAACATTCTCATTTCACAGAAACAGGGCGAGGACTCCCTACGCCCACATACACACACCTGCCTCCCCACCCACGAGGGAGGCCTCCTGGGCTTCAAAATTTATAACGATAAATTGACTGGGTTTCCTTCTGTTTGAGACGCGGGGAAAAATTAAGGATTTTGAAAAGAATCCATTCAGGTAGGGTCCTAGAAATTTATAAAAGCAACTCCAACAACATTTATCCGTCATCCTTAACTTGGGGATGCATCCTTGTCCCTCTAAACCCTCAGAATCACGGAGTCTCGGTGATGTTATTTTACTGAAAAGCCTTTCGGAGGTCTGGCATTTCAAAGCTGGGGACGCAGCTCTCGAAGAATCCTCTTCTGGACAGTATGGGAGTCATAAGGGAAAATTAAATCCCGTTCACAGAGGTTGGAGGACTTGATATATTACACTGCCTTTCATTCTCTGAGAGTTAACAGTCCTTGAGAATGGGACCAACGCTGCAGGTGACTTGTCTCCACGCTGTGAGCGCACAGTAGGTGCACAGAAGAGTTTGTTGAACTGCACTGATGATATGTGGTATAAGCACTCGGGACTACAAAGAAATGCAGTCGGATAACACACGTACTTTTTTTTTCCTGTCAAACAGTCCCCTGGGAAGGCTGCGCTCTTACGGCAGCAATGTGTGGCTGCTCAGCGCTCTGGGGCGTCCCTCTTGGGGGCCTCTTTTCAGAGCCAGTCCCATGGTTCCCACTGGAGCCCGTGCCTCCTGCCAGTTTGTGCCCCCGGTGACTGCAAAGCTGGGCTCTGAATGGTGCTTTTCATCCCAAAGGCCGAGGCGTCCATGCGAATACAGAGTTTTGGCCCCACTGCAGGCTCTCGGGAAGGCTAACCAGCTGCAGCAGTGGCGACGTATTTAGAGCAAGAATGTGGCTTCCCGAGGTGACCACCTCCAAGGGGCAAACGCTCACGTGGTTGGTGTGTTTGTCAGGGCAAGAAAGTCAGGTTACTTGATGGCCACACACTTTATGTAGGAGCTCTCCCTTCGGAGACTCTTTCACTAAACAGAACACCTGACTTTCAAGTCTTGTCAGGTAAGACCTCCTTTCAAGCGTCCTGAGCAATCAATCATCCATTTCCAAAGAGCTGAGGCAAATCCAGAAGGAGTCCCCTCGCTGGTGAGGCCTCATTCACTCCGCTCCTCCTGTCACGGGCTCCTCCGTCCTGCTCCCTTGGCTGTGTACCCTCTTTTCCTTTGCCGCCTGCTCACAGCTCTTCCTGCTCTGGGCTCTCACAGAACTTATTTCCGAGGGGCTGTCACCCAGGGCTCATCCTGGGGCATCTGACACATTTAGCTTTCTGTGTTGAAAACCTCCTGAGCCACACGTGAAGCTCCTTGAGGGCAGAGAGAATCTGCTTCAGTCCCCTGTCAGCTCCGGCGTGTGGCTTTTTCAAAAAGAAGGTCTTGACAGAGCCAGCAAGGAGGGAGGAAGAAGAAAGGACTCGTGACACAGCCCCCTCCTCCCATGACCTACTGGATGGCAAACTGCTCTCTCGGGGTCACCCCCAAACAGTGCCTCTTCCCCAATGCACCCAGCGGCACCCCTCCTTTTGAGGTCCTCCATGCCTCCCTCTCTGAGGTCTCCTAACGCAACCGCTGCTGATTCCTGCCCCTGGCTGTCCCAACTTGTGCCCCACTGTTCCACTTTCCCTCTCCCCCACCATCCCTTCCCCAGAACTCAGCCCACAGGCAGAGACGGTCCTGGGCCCTGGCTGGTCTGCCTACCTCCTCTGACACCTGAGGCTGGCCCTCCCTGTCCTGCAAGTACTGTGCGCACCCTGCCTGAGGAGGGAGGATAGAGGGCTGGAGCAGGGGCAGCCTCCACCACCCCAAAAGTGTTAACTAAGCCCGGAAGCTTTGGCTTCTCTCCTGACTGATATGAGTCTTACTTCCTGCAGAAACCGTCTTCGTTAGATGGTGGTGGGCTCTCCAGTAACTGGGAGGGACCCTGCCCCTGTTCCCCTAAGTCATGTTAAGGATGCATCCCCCCTTCCTTAACTTTGTGCCCCACCTGCTGCCCTTGTCAACTCCACCAGCATCTTAACTTGCTCCGAGCCATTCTATCCAGCATGGCGGGATCCTGCACCCTTTGCAGCCAAGAAGCAAGAAAAGAAAAGACTCACTGAGGTGAAAAGCCTTTTTTTGTTTAAGTTGTAAAGGGTTAACCTGGAATTTGAAAGGGACTACCTCAGCTCTTCTCCCTTCTGCCAAACTGCCTCACAACAAGCACAACTAGGTGGGAGGGTTGTCCCTCATTCAAATTGTACGTGTTTCCCTTGCTTGTATATTCTCAGCTGTACCCATGGGGGTTTTCTTTGCGTAGCTTCCAGCCAGTCCCCTCTCGGGAGCCGTAAGTGTGACTCAAGGTAAGGGCGTTTCGCTAACTGTCCCTTGGGCTGGTTGGACTGCAGTTCCTGAAGCAGCGCAGTGTGGCTGGCAGGGACCACTGTGCCAGCAGGGGTTCAGTGCCACCCAGACTTCCCTGGCTTCCAGCACGATCGCATCTCACCCCCGGGGCTGGGAATCAAGGGAAGGCACTTAGGAGCAACTGGTCAGAGACAGAAGCAGCTCTAATGAGAAGCCCTACTGAAGCTACAAGCAGTTGCCGTGAGGATCAGCTCGCCTCGGGCCTGGCTGAGAGCACAGATTCAAAGTTCCAGTCTGTCTGGTTGGCCGTCAGTCAGTCGGTCTGTCGAGGTAGGGCTGTTGGCCAGGGGAGAGGTGGAGAGAGGCTGCCATTACATTGGGCACATTCTCGGACTCTGGTTCCCCAGCAAGTACCTTAATGAACGCTTCCATACAGCCGTTAAATAGTTTATGGCTACACACTGAGAGAGGCCTAGGTCTCCTCATTTTCTGTGGTTTAGGGGGAAGACAGGGGGGCCTAGGGGAAAACGGAACAAAAGAAATCAAGAAAGCAACCAAGGTAAACATACAACTGGGAAAGACGCTCTTATAACCCATGACTGGAGAACACAAAATGCAAACGGCAGGCCTGAACCCCCAGCGCATTGGTGTCCAATGCTCCATCTGAAGGCCTCTGGATGTTTAAGGGGGTCTTAATTCACCCACAGTGTCAGGCAGGAGCAAGGCTCACGTAACACAAATGCATTCTAAGTCATGGAGCGGGGGAACAGCACGCGTCCCGGAAACCACTGAAACTCCAGTCAGAGGCTGTCATCCTGCAAAGCTGATCAGATGGAGGGGGGGTCAGGGGGAGAGATGTGATCTGTAGCCCAAGAAAGCAAGAGACTTTCAAAGATGACTGGAAGGGTTAATTTTCATTATTTTGGCTTAAATTCGTCACCAAGTCTCAACTCCCAATGTACGAGGGCACTGATCTTCCCAGTGCCTCCTGGCATTTCACATATACTCGACTCGTCTTTATTCCATTGATCTAAGAGCCAGGCAATTAGTGTTCTCATTCTAGAGATGAGGAAACTGATGGCAGGCAGGAGGGGTCCCCGGGTGACCCAGATAATGATTATCTCCTGTCTTTTCGTCAAGTACACTTTCAATTAAAGTGCTTTCAAATCCGTTATTACACTTAACATCTGCTCAACCCTTACGTATGGCCCCATTTTACAGAGGCCTAAACTGAGGCCTAGAGAGGGGAAATGGTACAGCCAGGCCCCAAACCCAGGCCTCTTTGTGTCCAAGTCAAAGATTTTTCCCAGCGGGCCAGTCACGGAGCCTGACACTTTTTCATTTCTAGCCAAAGATTCACCCATCCCATTAACCCTTGCCAGCAGAGGACCCATGGGGCCAGGCTGAAAGTGTCTTGCTTGACTTTACGATCTCCATTCCCTGTGCTCCACTCTCGGCCACAGGGAGGGGCGACCAAACCACAGTTCACCAGCAACAGTGAAACAGCCACACACACTGGACCAGTTTCCAGAGTTGCTCACATGCATATACCTGTGTTGGCTTATTTGCTCATCTTTCACCACCCAAGGTGGCCTGACTCAATGCTGCCAGCCTTCCAGGGCAAAGGGCTTTCTGAGGTTAGAAGGAGGGCCCCTAACCCAGAGAGGCAGTTCATTTTCAAATGGCTTAGTTCACAATTTGAGAAGGACCAACTGGGGACCCAGCCTGGCACAGATAATGTCTGTGCGTGATAAACACAGAGCTGGGGCCCCAAGTCTTGACCGATTTCTGTGAACGGGCAAGGAATCTTATGCGTTGTGGAGCCAGTCGAGGTGCTGAGACCCACACTGCCTCTGCTCACTGGCCTTGCTGTGTCTGTCCCCTTCAGCAGCCCCGCCATCTGGGGAACTCTGAGCGACTTCTCCTAGGTGTCTGAATACTGAGCAAATGCTGCGGGCTCCAGGACATGCATGGGCAAAGACACAGTGGAATCCAAATATCATGCCACCCAAACACTGGAACCAAAATAACAGCACAGACCAAAAATTTCAAAAGGAAACACCAGGCAAGATTATTCTGAGCCCATCTTGGATCTATGTCAATTTGGTTAGCTAAGTCCATGTCATTTCTTTTTCACAAGTTACTTATTTTGGGGGGAGGTGGTTCTGTGGGAGTGATATTTCTTACAACGGATCTGCTTTCGAATTTCCAAATGGCAAAAGGGAGTGCCAAAAATGTGACACAGGGCCAAGGGGTTTTACGTATAATAACTGGAGGAGAGCTGCTTCGCCACCTTGTTTCCACAGTGTTTTGGGTTTGTTTTTGAAGGTTCTCACACTGCATGATACCCTCACAACAACCCTGTGAGGTAGGCAGGACCTGTTAAACCTACTTTAAACATAAGGCAAATGAGCCCATGAGACGTTAAGAAACTTGCCCAAGGTCATGGGACTAGAATTCAGCTCTTCCTACTCCAGGTTCCAGGGTGAGTATAGAACTTGGGAAACTGATTTTCTCACAGAACAGCCATGAGTAGCATTGAATTATCTATTAAACGCTCATGGCCAGCAAGAATAGAGACTTTTAATGCAGGCGTTGCACACTCAATACCAAAAAATCTAGGATGCCTTTAAAATTTTACTTCTTCAAGTAAGTCCTAAGGATTTTTTTAAGTTTACAAAATGGAAAAAGGGGAAATAGGATACTTTTTTCCCATTTCCAGAAAGCAAAGGACTGTTGGAATCACACATGGATTTCTTTCTTTGTGCGGTGCTCTGTACATGGGGAAGAATCTCTGACAAGGAGACGTAGCTATCCCAACTTTGCATGACATCAAATCGATACCGACTTACTGAAGTGCTGGGTGGGACACAAAGTGGGGAGCGGGGGGGCAGCTCAGCCAAGGAAAGTGGGGCAGCCTAAGCCTTCCATCTCTTCTGCTGCTCAGTTGCAGAGCAAAAAGGAAAGAGAGAGAGAGAGGCAGGGAAAACAGGAACCGAGAAAGCCACGGAGAGGAAGAAAGAGAAACCAGAGACCAATGCCCCCTTTCTGCCTTTCAACCAAGAGGAAAATTAACACACATTAGCGACACAGGAATGGGCCTCAAAATTATTCTGTGACCAAAAGGATGGTGATTAATTTTCCCTAGACAACCCAACAGATGTGGGCGTCAACATCCAAAATGGTGGCAATATTGTAGTTCAGTGGTGGTCAGGCTCTTGGAGGCTGTGTGTGGTTGTGCACGGGGTTGCAGCTATTTGGACAAAAAAAATCTCAAGTGATATCACTACTAATCCAGTCTTGGGGCCAGTCAACCTAGGTTAGGAAAGCCAGTCAGCGGTCTGAATAACCATAATCAAACTTCATGCTTGCGTCTGGCTTTGGCATTTACCGCGCACTTTTCAAGTGTGTTATTGCATCTGGTCAGCCTAATCACAGGGTTATTCTGAACTGGGGCTACTCTAAGATAAGGTTCTTACGTGTGAGAAAAGGAAATACAATGTGAGGCAGCCCGTGTGCAAAATTGATCCATCTACACAAAGCCAGCAGCAACTTGGCTGAGGGGGCCTGCCCAAGTGAGCATCCAAAATGACACTGATCTTGGACAGGAAACCATGGGAGGTACAAAGTCATAGTACAGAAATAGCTCACCCAGGGTGTTTAAGATTAATTTAAAAAACACTTCCAAGTTAGCAGTATATCCCACAATAAGTTTAAAGTGATTTTTGGAAGTAAGGGGAAGCTTTTCGTTCACTAAGAGTTGCCTCTGACCTTGGCCAAGGGCCAAAGTGCAGCTGGCCGGACCGGCAGCTTAGTGCAGTGTGCTCACGTGGGAGGTCTGCAGTCCACGCCTGGGTTTCCCAGGCCCCAGGCCAAAGGGGGTGTGGAAGGCAGCATCTCAGAGGGCTTTATTTAAAAAAAAGCAAAGCCCCCAACTTTTCTCTAAGGAAGACTGTGGGACCTCGCCAAGGGTTGGATTACAGATCTCTCCTACAATCTTCTGGAACCATCTTCTCCCACATGAGTTCTAGGAAGTAGGAGGAAGTGAGGGACGGCTCAATTCGTCATCTCCTATCTGTTTCACTATTTGCAGTCTTTGGTGTAAAATGTGGCTTCCGTTGTTTTGGGACTATGAGAACGCCCTCTCGCCAGTAAACAAACAAACAAATAAATAGGAATTTGTTTCTAAAAGATTCTTGGAAAGTAACCCTGCACATCTGGTGACCCATGTGCTGGAAGGGCCTCGCCTGGCATTTTGAATCACCACTATGTTCCCAGACTGCCGGGGTCAAGAGGAACAGCTGCACGGGCTAGGCTTCTGGAGAGCTCTTAGTCCCCCCCACCCTGGGCCCAGCAAGCTAAAATCCCAGAGCTTTCCAAGGCACCTTCCAGCCAACTCCCTTCTGGATGAGTAGGGAGTTGAGGGTTCATCCTCCCTCTTGCCAAGTAGGCCAGCTTTCCAGGAATCTGGGACACTGGGAAGAACTTGCGGGGAAAGGATGTCATCGAGTCACCAGGCCCAGAATGAGGCAGAAGTAGCTCTCAGTGGTCACTGAGATGGTGGAAATGATGGGCCACTGGCTGAATTTATGCTGGGCAGTGGGACAGGCACTGCTGGGAACACAGAAATGGATGGGCTCCGAGGAACCCCGGCAGCGACGGGGCTGCTTATGGATCCAAACTCTCTGAAAGCAGAGGAAAGGGCCAGCCCTGAAGGAAGCCCCTGAGCTGTCAGCTGCTGAGTGAAAGTGTTCACTGGCTCTGGTCTGCTCAGGGAAAAGTGCAGAGAGTAATGTGGAGCAAGCTGGAGAGAAAGCAGAAGCTGCCCATTGTTACTTTCCCAGCAAGGGGCTCCACCATCCATCCATCCAAGCGCGGTGAGGTCCCAAGCCAGGTGTGGATATGCGCATGCGTATGCCCGGTGCTGTGCGATTCCAGCCAAATCCAAAGCCTGGGCAAACGGGACCCTAGGCTGCGCTCCCGCCTCGGCAGTTTGCTCAGCAGCCATATAACGGATGGGGAGACAGATCGACAGCTACCCGACACACTCTGGCTTCTACTGGGCGCCCTCAGCCACTCTGCAATATATATTACCGCCCAGCCCTCCCACCCGATGGGCAGCGCGGAGGGAAAACACCCTCTTCCCACAGCAGCTCTGAAAACCCCCTCCCTGTCATCAGCCTGGGGGGGAGGGGGTGGCTCACCAGCCGAACGCGGCAAAAGTAGCCAAAAGAGCCTTGCCCTCCCGCTCAGCACCCTGCCACAGCACCCCGTGGGGACGCTGGTGAAGAGCTGTCCCGCTCCAAGAAGCCCCAGCTCCTCTGAGCTCCTAGCAGCGTCTTCCCGCCTCCCCGCCTCTCCTGCTCCTTCCACCTCCTCCTGCCCCCGCCTCCGGCAGCCGGCCGGTGAAGGAAAACAAGACCCCGGTTCTTACCTGGTTGTGCCGCATTCTGCTCTCTCCCCTGAAAAGAAGAGTGTACATTGATGTTTAATTGTTGGTTTTGTTTCTGCTTGTTTTTTATTCTGACCAGAGACCACTCATCTATTTCTAAAAACAAGAAGCAACAACTGAAGTGAATTATTTGCGAAATGGGAAATCTAATCATGCCTCAGGTATGGTCTGTTGGGAAGAAGTGAGTTGTATTAAATCCTCAGTGCCTCCTATTTCCAGGGCCATGTTCATGTATATTTCTCTTCTTATTGTTCATACATATTTTTTCAGTGACTCTCAAACTACAGCCTGCTGACCACTGGCAATAGACCCTCCTGGGACTCTTGTTAAAGATGCAGATTTCTTGGCTCTTTCCTGTATAAGAACCCAGGAATCTGCATTTTAATAAGCACTCCAGGTGCTCCCTTCTACGCACACCCCAGCTCATGAACTCCTGCAGTGCTTTATGTCAACAAAGGTTTACTGAGTACCCATCATGCCTGGCACCGAAGGGTACCAGCCAGAAGACACCAGGTATTTCTCAACCTTGCTACGCCCCTATTCCCAGCCCTCCTGCCTTCATTCTCAGCTGAAGACCTATTTGCTTCCTTCACTGGAAAAGAAAACCAGTAAGACAGGGTCTCTGGATGCCTCCATGAGACCCACTCACCTGCTATCTCCTCTCCTGGTGCTCTGGAGGAAGCATCCTGCTTCTGCCAAAGCCCTGATCTTATGCTCCAGGTCTCGTGCCCTCTGCCCTTCTTGGGGGCTTTGTCTCTGCTACCATCTCCCCTCTAGTATCACCAATCTCCTCTCTTCCGGATCATTTCGGTCAGCACATCAACATGCACACTGGATACATTCAACCTGACTTTTAAGCCCCTTCTTGACCCCTTTTCTCCTCTAACCGCATCTCCATTTTCTCAGCTTTCCTTTACAGCAAAACGTCCTGAAGGAGCTGTCCAGAGTCCCTGTCGCTCCCTCCCCTCACCTCACCGCAGGGCTTCTGTCCTCACCACTCCACAGAGACTGCTCTGTGCGGCTGAACCCAGTGTCTGCTCTGCTCTTATCTGACTCTCAGCCCTCAGTACTACCTTAACTCGGTTAATCACTCCCTTCTGATGAAGCTTTCTAAAGCTTTCGCCTCTTGATTTTCATGACTCTATTCACTTCCCAGGTGTCCTTCCTGCCCTACAGGCTGCTCCTCGGTTTCCCTTGTCTCCTCCTCATTCTGCCCAAACTCTAACCTCGAAATGTCAGGATGCCCCAGGATGCAAACTGCATCTCCTCTTCTCTTCCGGCCCACCCTCTCTAGGTGACTTCAAATGCTTACTGATGATTCCCTACTCTTACCTCCGGATCTTACATTTCCCTGGAATTCCAGACTCATATCCATTGCCCTCTTTTTTTAACAGCTTTACTGGGGTATAATTTATGTATCATAAAAGTCACCCATTTAAAATGTATAATTCAATGATTTTTAGTAAATGTTCAAAGTTGGGCAACCGTCACCACAATTCAATTTTAGAAAGTTCCCTCACATAGAAAAGATCTCTTGTGTCAATTTATAGTCACACCCTCTTCCCACCTCCAGCCTGTGGCAATCACTAATCTCTATAGATTTGCTTATTCTGGGTAGCTCATAAAAGTAGAATTGTGCAATATGTGGTCTTTTGCATTTGGCTTCTTTCACTGAGCATAATGCTTTTGAGGTTCATTCATAGCATGACTCAGTACTTCAGTCCTTTTATGGTACAGGAAGAGAACCTCAAAGCCAGTGCTGTCCCATGGACATATAATGCAAGTCACAATTTATAGTATGCACGTTACAAAAAGTAAGGAGAAACAGGTGATATTAATTTAAATAATATATTGCATGCAACCTAATATGTCAAAAATATTTCAATTTGTATCAATATAAAAATATAATAATATATATACATAAACACACATGCATATATATACGTACAGTACTAATTCTTTGAAATGTGGTACTCATTTTACACTTCTCAGTTCAGACTAGCCACATTTCAAGTGTTCAACAGCCACATGTGGCTGGTGGCTACCATACTGGACAGCACCGCTCTACACTTTAGAATCCCATCTAGCATTCACATGAAGGGACTTTATAAAAGAAAGAACTGAGCTCTTATTTTTCTTTACAGAAAACAATGCTGATTGGGCTGGGGAGAAAAATGAGGGGAGGAAGAGAAGTCTGAAAATAAAACTTGGAGCGAATCAATACACAGTTCCTTAATTCCTGACCAAAGCCACAAGCAGTTACAAGAGTGACTGTAGTTGGTTGAACTAAAGCCAAAGCCAGAACAGAGAAAAGTAAAACAGGAAATTTTGTTCTGCTTAAATCGATTGTGTGTCTAAGGTCTGGGACAAATTCCTACCAGACATCAATTTGAGTTAAATTTTCATGTAGACCCAAGACCCTGAGTTGGAGCAGATGGCAGCCCACGGAATGGTCGGCTAATGGCCTTGGTGGACCATAAAGCACATCGTTTTCCTGAGGGGTGTAGTCAGCTGTACAAAGGGGACCTCGGAATAGGCTCCTGCTCCACTTCCTCTTGGTTCCAGAACTGCCCACTCCACTGCGTATTCACTAGGGTCCAGTCCCAGGGCCCTTCTTTCACTCCTGCCTCACCACATCGCTTCTTGCCTTCACACATGCTGTTCCCTTGGCCTCAACACTCTTTCCCCAGTTTCTCATGATGCCTTCTCATCGTTCAGTCTCAGTTTAAATGTCACTTCTTCTCTGAGGCCTCTCTGATCACCCAACCTAAAGGTCCCCCATGCCTCCCCCTCCACCCCAATACACAACTGTTCTCTATCTCAGCCCATATTTTCCATTCAAGGGCACTTATCACAGCTGTAATTCTTTACTCAAGAGCTTGTTTCCTGTTTGAGGTCTCTCCTCCCCATGAGGGCAGGAACCTTGTCTGTCTTGTTTACCCTGTACCCTCAGTCCTGGCCAAGTACAGAGCCTGTGCTTTTGGATGGATGGGTGGACAGATGAATGGACAGAAAGGGGCCAGGAGGGAAGAAAGGGGTAGGTAGGAACGAAACAGCCTAGGTCCTGGAGTGCAACGTCAGAACACACTCAAGACAGACTTTCCTCTGGCAGCGAATCAAATACATTCTCCTCCAGCTTTTGACTCACTTTCCAGCTCTCAAAATCCTTTACCAACACCTTTTGGAATATGGTGTTTCAACTTCTAACAAACATCAAAAATCAAAAACACTCTGCCCTTTACCTTTCAAGACCTGTTGAGATTTAAAATACATATTTTATAGTTGGTGGCTCAGTCATTTTCTAGAAGGTCAGACTGTCTGGTCCTCGCAGACATTCTGCTCTGCAATGGGCTATTAAATCTTGGCCTGAAAAGGTTATGTCTCATCCCTTTGGAGACAATGAACCATTCATCCTTGAGGGCCTGGAGTAAATTGAAAAACCACCCGCATCTTAGGTGTCAACTCTAGAGCTTACCGACTACCCAGAGCAATAAAAAAGTCAGAAATCTAAGACTGAGACGATAAACTAAGATCTCTCCGGCCAATAAAATGACCTAGCAACAACCAAGGGCATACAAGGGTGTGTGCTCTTGTTTCCAAGACGTGGCAGTGACATTTGTAGCAAGGAATGTCACTTTGCAGGGCCCCGATGCGTTTTGACTTGTGTGTCTGGGGTCAATCACGTTCAATTTCGCTTCTAAGTGAAAGCGACCCGGAAGATCTAGTGCTTCCTCTAACCTGTGACTTCTCTGAGGCATGCTGTCAAAAGAGTACTTGAGAGAAACTAAGGCCCTAGGCAACGATATTTCATTTCATTGAAAAAAAACTTTGTACCTTCTTAGTCAAAATATTCTGCTTAGCTCCATATTTCTCACCTGTTTTCAAAATGAGCAGATTATCCTTCCCAACACAAAAGAGTTCTCAGATGACATAAAAAAAAAAGCCATTGATGCAGATGTCACCCTAACCTAGCCCCCCTCTTAGAAGAGCTTTCGACTAAAAGGAAGAGTTAACGTGTCCAGGTAGAGGAATCATCTGAAGACCCCTCGGAAGAATGAATAAGAAGATCTGAGCTCTCTTTGGCCTGCTCAGTTTTTTCATGCCCCACTTGCCCAATGGTCAAGAGCTTTATCAAACTAAGTGCAAATTCCCTCTACCAACTAATGCCCTAGGAATCCACATACACCTTCATCAGGAGATACAAAAATGCCTGAAGATTGCTCTCAGCTTCAGTTTTTTCAGTAATTCGGTAACTTACTGATTTTAGTTAACAATAATGGATCAGTCTTCATTCACTGTGACAAATACACCATAGCAGTGTAAAATGAAGACGTTACTGGTAAGGGAAATTGGATGTGGAGTATACGGGAACTCTGTACCATCTTTGCAACTTTTCTATAAATATAAAACTATTCTAAAGCAAAAATATTTATTAAAAACAAAACCTCCCCAGAATTGATGAGTCTAACAAGATGCATGCCAGTTATCAAAAGCAGCACAGTGGGCTTTTCCACTGCCGGCTGACGAGGTAACAGAACAACGGTAATTCTCCCAGATGGCTCTTTCTTAGCTGCCCTCATACTTCTGAAGCTGTGTCTTCCTGCAGTTTTGTTGTTTTTGTTGCTATTCAGCTCAAAACTCAGAAGAAGGACTCGTTAATCACATCTCAGAGCAATGTGTGGCTGAAGGCTAAATAAACTTGGAAGACCAAGTGGGTCAGGAGTTCCGCCAACCAAAACTGATGATAATGATGATTTCATTAAGGCCATTCAGGCAAGGGCGGTAATAAAGGTTGCATCTGATAGCACTCCTAGGGGAGCTGGAGAGAAGCGCTTTCTCATCTGGGATCTTATTTTTTAAAACAATATCTTGTTTTCTAAATCCAGAGCACCTGATTTTGAAAATACAAGTAGCCAGCAACTCACACGGACCTGCCTTTTGTTATGTGGCCCATGAGAAACAGCCCCCAGCCCCCCATCCCACAAACATAGAATCTGATCCTGGGAGTGGCGGAAACTGTCCCCATTGGCACACTCACTCTAGGACTTCCTGTCTTTTCCCTTTCCCTCTCTCCTTGCTGTTTTGGTTCCCTCTATGTTCCCCACACTCCTCCATGGCCCCCTTCTCCTGGTCCAGTAATGAAATGTCAGGATGTGCAGAATGTAGGGGGCCGGAGGGTGAGGGTGGGGATGAAAAAAATGCTTGTTGCAACTCACTCCTCCCCACTCTCCCTCAGTCAATAAGTTTTGATAAATGTAAAGACCCATGTATAAACACCACCCAAATCAGGATATAGAATATGTCCATCACCCCCCAAAGTTCCCCAGCTCTTACCAGCTAGAACACACAAAACTAGTCTATGGTGACAGAAATCAGATCAGTGGTGGCTTGAGGTGGAGGATGGGGGGACTGACTGTAAAGAGGCACAAGCGAACTTCTGGGTGATGGAGAGGTTCTGTATCTTGACTTGATGGTGGTTATATCTGGGTGTGTTTGTCAAAAGTGATTTCCACATATAAAATGGGTGCATTTTATGGCATATCCATTATATGTCAATAAAGTTGATTGAAAACATTCCATTGGTCTTAAAGCCCTGGCTATTCCTCAAGCCCTAACTGTCATCTGCCTTGAAGCCTTCCCAGCTTTCCTGGGTCCATGGTGAAACCTGCCTCCCGTGACTCACGGTCCTCAGAATCCGAACTGTTCACCTGGCAACTCATTTAGTATTTCTGTGTGACAGTGTTACTGCTATTTAATTCTTTATGAGTTCATAGGTTGTCTCCCAGCTAGACTGTAAGTGCCTTGGGGCTGCGAAATGGTTTCATTTCTCACCAGTTCCTCTAAAGCATGGGCTCACAAATGCCAAGCGCCCCTTGACAGCTGCTGAGTGGACTGGCTCAGGATTTGTGTGGCCAGGGCATGGCCACTAGAACGTGCACCCACAGGGAGAGGAGAGTGAGCCATAGAAGGGCGAGGATACCCGCCAGCCAGGGAACACCAGCCCCACACCCCATCTCGTCCGGTCACATTCCTCCGTCCCCAAAACACTCCTGGATGGTCTAGACTGCTTCCAGCTGTCATCTCAGGATCTACTGGCATCTTCACCTTGGAAATTCCCTTCATCGCTCTCGTATTGGCCACTATTTCCCAGACCCCATGTGCCTACTCTTGTTGAAGATATGATGCTGTTGGGGGTGAGGGGCATGACTAATGACAAGAAGTAGGTGAACAAATAATAAACAGGATGATTTCACATGGTGATGAGTGAGATGAAGAAACTCAAACAGAGTGTTGGGACAGAGGTGGTGATTCCCTGAGGCTGGGGGGCAGGGAGAGCCTCCCTGAGGAAGTGATATCTGTGCTGGCAGCTGAAGGATAAGGCGGCATCCACGCAAAGATATGGGGGAGAGCATTCCAGGCAGAGGGAACAGCAGATACAGAGGTCCTGGGGCAGGAAGAAGTTGAACAAGCTCTGAAGTGCAGAAAGGAGCTCAATGCGGCTGGAGTACAGTAAGGAGTGGAGGATGGGTAGCTGAGGTCAGGGAAGGAGGTCAACTGGCCTCAGGCCTCATGTGCCATGGGAGCGCTGGGATTTTATCCAACTGACCTTGGAAGCCTTTGGGGAGTTTTAAGCCTAGTCCCCAGGTCCCTCAAGGACCAAACTCTGACTTAAACATATATGGATTCTCCTTCTTGAACCTAGAATCCTGGCCAGGCACTCCAATGGTATTCCTGGCAAATAGGATCGGGTAAAAATCATCAGCGGGGACCCTTGTGCCCTGAGTCCCACCCCCTACCTATCGAGGACCTCTCATCACCTTACCTGGGACCCTCCCCACAAGCTAAACTATGACTTGTGCTGGCCCCATATTTTCTACAGCCAGGCTGGACCCCCTCAGCATCTGCACCACGGCCGTTTTCCCAGTCTCATCCTGGTGGGGGCTCCAGTACCAGGCCTCATTCCACCAAGTGCCCACGATCTCCCTTTGGCCACAACAAAACCCAGCGGGGAAGACAGCCCCCCTCGCCTGCTTCCACCACCTGACTCACCTTCGCCCAGAGTCTGCTTGAGTAAGTCGTGCTTGGCCTGCAGCTTAGTGATGAGGTTACTGCCGTTCACGTATTCTTTAAATTTCTGGAAGACACAAGTCACAAAGACATTACAAATCGCAGGGCTGAGTCCTGCCATCTCTGCCTCCGGAACGGACCTCCAAGGCAGGAGGCCACCCTGAAGGACGCTGGCGTGGGGAAAGGGCAAAGGGGAGAGGGTGTCCCTGCATCTGCTCCAGCAGGTCCCCAGCTCTGCCAAGTGTGACCGGCCAGTCCTATCAGGCCTTTCAGGTCAGTTTCAGGAACACAAAGAAAGCCCAGGGGATGGCGTGGTGAGAGGCGCTTCCATCAGGGGAGCTGTGGGAGCCTCGAAGCAAGTCTCGCTCATCTGCTGTGCTCTGGAGGAGGAAGGGCTCTGCAGGCCCCCAGAGGCATTCCTAGTAAAAGAACCCAACTGGACTGGAGGGAGATGATTTTCTTCTTTTTACAGATGAGACAGGTCAAACTGGCACAGGGAATGTTTTGCCCAGGGTCCCTGGGACCCCAGGCTGCCTCTGTTTCAGGGACCTGGCCAAGAACAATGCGCTTCAGAGCAGCGCCTGGAGCCACTCAGAACACAAACATCTACCTGCCCCCAGGTCAGCCTAGCTCCGGCCACCCCGCAGCACAGGTACCAGCTCCTTGGCCCTGCCCACCCCGCATCACCCAAACACAGGCCTGCAGCCCTCTCTGCCAGACTGTGAGCTGCTGTAGGTGCTGTCCCCATAGCTTTCCGGATCCCCAGTGCCCACAGCTATGCTGGCAAATAGCAGTTGCTGAGAATTTCAGCTGAATTCCTGACCCGGTGGGACTGACATAGCAGAGCAGGAGAGAGACAATAAACTAACAAAAACATAAGCAAAATACACAATGGGTCAATGATGGTGAACGCCAGGGATGAAAACAAGGCAGGAACAAGGGACGGGAGTTGGGGCAGACCTCACTGCACAAGTGACATTAGAGCCAGGCCTGAAGGAGGTGAGGAAGGGGCCGGGGGCAGGGGGTGTCTACAGAATTCAATTACAAAAGCCCTAAGAATGAAGGCATGGGGACGGATGTGACTGCTCCAAATCTACCAGCTGGTTTTTCATAAAAAATCCATTCTATGCCCTACCTAGAAGACTCAGAAAGGACGCAGAGAAGCAGAGAAGTGAGCCTCGGCGGCTAAGGACATCTGAACATCACCACCTTCCCAGTGAAGACAGGTGCAGGGGCCCGTAGGGTGGAGGCTTACATGTGGCCCCAATAAGACTGAGCTCACCTCACCCTGGTCCCACCCTGATAAGTGTCTGGGAGGTTGTGGTGTCCCATCTCCTTGGCCACGGTCCCTCTTAGCTCCTAGGACCTTGTCCCTTGGTTGTTAAGAACTGCCCCACCTTGCATCTGTAAAACACCTGACAGTTTTCAAACACGAACATCTGGTCCTCCCCTCGGTCTTGGACGGCAGATGGGGGGAGCATCGCCACTCCCATCCTACCCAGGAGACAGAGCTTAGAGCAGTGGCCACTCAGTGTGCGACCTTGGCCGGATTTCTGAACATTTCTGGGCATCCGTGCCCTCCTCAGGGTGAAATGAGGGTAGACTCACAGTGTTTCTCCAAGTGTGGTACAAGGCCCAGTGGCCTCCTACCCAGTGGGAGAGTCTCAAAATGCAGCTCCCTGCTCTGTAATATTTCTGGAATACTGTGCATCTAACCCGAGGAGGATACCATAGAGGACTCAACGTGTTCACATTTCCAGGGCCCCACCTCAGGGAGGGTGGGAGTCTGGGAACCTACATTTTCAACAAGCCTCCTTCATGATTCAAAAGCACAGTTGAGTTTGATAACTACTCAGCTACGGCTCTCTCTGGATCCTCCCAGTAATGCTGCCCTCTGATTTTATCTTCTGTATAAAGATTCACCATAAAAAAAAGCAAAGCTGAGGTCCAAGCAGGTTTTATCTCCATCACACCATACTGCCCCAAGCAGCTGAAGCTCCACCCCAAATGTGTGACTCATGCTTTGGTGGGTTATTCACTGGTTAGTGAAAATTCCACCCTGCGGATCTGGGGCCTTGGACCCTGCCCACTCCTTCCAAGCTTCACCCTGCTTTCCATGGGACCATGAAGGAAAGAACGCCATGGAATCATACTGATGTCTGTGCTAGAAGGAGTATTATGTCCTTAAAAATACCTAAGTAATATCACAACATCAAGTTATGAGGTGTACTAGCCAACCAGGTTGATAACTTGAATATTAAGATCAAATCCATGACCCTTCATCATAGACGCTGTCTTTTGCCTTCAAGCAGGGTCAATGTCCTTCTTTGCTTCTGCTGCCAAAGTGACTTAACATGTACTCCTTACTCATCCTTGGAACCCATACGTTCTATGTGCAAACATAGTAGGTCCCTAGCAGTGAACCCCAGAAATCAGCAAGGTCTGAGTCAGTAAGTCTGGCTCTGTTTTCTTTGTTGAAAACAACCAAGTCAAAGATCGAGGAAATGCAGTATGTGTAGACTTAGTTTTCAAGAGGGATCTGATGAGGCCCATCACAAAATGGAGTCGGATTTATAACTGGGTGGGTCTGTGACTGACTGAATGAACACAATCTAAAAATGCTGATTAACGGATCAATATCAGTATAGTGGCATGTTTTGAACAACTCTGTCTTTGACTATGGCCCTGGCAAACCAAATAGGTTTTGTTTTTTGTTTTGGGTTTTTGGTTTTGTTTTTACTGACAAACTTTAAGGTACGGAGGCCACACTTACTGAACCTGTATCTGTGATGAACAAGTGCATTAGGCTCCTGACTGTCTGGGGCCACGAACTGAACCCGCCGGGAGGAAATCTAATGGGTAATAAATGGAAGAGCCACCCAAGACATTACCCACACATCCCATAGGAGGAAGGCGGCCCTGTTTAAGGGCAGTGCAGTGGGGATAGAGATTTAACTGATACAAACTTAGCTGGGAGTCTCACGTTAGAAGAAGTGTTGACAAACGGGACGTGCTCAAGGACAGAGTCACGAGGATGCGGAGGCCACTCCAAACAAAAGCTTAGCAGGCCGGACTGAAAGAATTAGATATGTTTAGCCTGGAGAAATAAAAAACCCAGCTCCCTGCAACCTTGCCAGACTGTCATGTAGAGTTAGCCTCTCTCTGGGTTGCCGCAGAGAACAGAATCAAGCTCAGTGACCAGAAATTCTAGTGAGGCAGATTTCTGAAGGTAACAGAGATGCAGGCAAACATTATAATATCTACAGCCAGCCACAGGCCAAACAAAACGGTTGTCTGGGGAAGGAGAGAAAGAACTTTTCATCCTGGGGCTCCTCAAGCAACGTCTGGATGGCTATTGGGCAGGGACACAGCTGAACAGGATCAAGGGTCAGACAGAAGATGTAAGGCCCCTCCAACCCCAACATTCCATGTGCACTAAACACATGTTGAACCAAAGCCCGATGCCTCATCCCTGTTCCTCCCTGGCCAAGTGAAATGTAAGTAATCTGGGATTTTGCATGAAGATGGCAAATCACCAGCAACTTACCAGGATTACCCAGGGCATATTTGCCAAGCCCACTCCCCAGTTTGAGACAACTCAACATGACAACCATACACTACCTTGGGGGGTGTTCCTTAGGGTGTGCACCTGGCTCTGTGAGCGCTTTTCCTCTCTCCCTACCAAACACAACTCTTTCTGGGTTTTTGTTTTCTTTCTTTCAGTTTTCCTAGAACAGGAAAGTTGCAGGAACTGTCAATCTAAGATCAAGGCCAATGTTACCCACTGGTAACTCACTTTCGGCGTTTCACAAAGCCAAGCCAGGAAACTTAATCTGAAAAGCATGTTGGGAGAATTTGAGGTCTGACTGACCCACGTGGTTTCTCTGGCTCCCGCTAGGTTTGGGCTGCTCCCCAGAAGTCACTGCCGGCGGGTCAGCAGACGGCGGGTCCTGGGCCAGGACGCCACTTACTGTAAAATAAAACATTTCTGTTTCCTGCTGGTTGGCTCTCCTTTTGGCGATGTTGATCTTGCTCATGTAGGTCTCAGAGGCAGCCGACTTCACGGACTCTGTGGACCGACTGTGTTGGAAGGCGTCGGAGACGTCAAAGTCCTCCACGGTCAGCATGTCCTGTAAGGTCTGCATTGTAGCATCCAGGGTTTTTCTAACCTGGGGAAACACAAAAATCCTTCAGCCTCAAGGCCTTCGACACCTCAAGTCCTTTTCCCAACTGTTCCTTTATTTCTTCCACACAAAGCCTCTGGGCGGCAGGAAGGACAATGATGGTGGTTCCCATTACACTGATGTGGAAAGGAAGGCCCGCATCTGGCTGGGTGAGGAGCCAGGTGCCCAATCTAAAGTCATTTTACGGCTCTGCTTCTGCCAGAGAGAACCTCGGAGAATGCTGTGATGAACAAGGAGCTCGGGTTTCTAGGTTTGTTTCTCTTTGTGGGTCTATGGCCCCAAACTAGCTCCTCCTGGGATGTGGGTCCCCCTCAGAGGAACAACACTAGCAACAGCCCTGTTCTCTTCATCCAGAGAAGGGAGGGGACACAGTCTAGATAAGGTGAGCGCCACCCTCGATGAATGAACTCGCCAGCTGTCTGCCACTGAGTCCTACAAAAGCCTGACTGAGAAAAGAGAACCTCTAGGAAGTCAGATGCTCAGACACACGTGGTATGGTCGGTCCTCCAGGACTCCAGCCCCTCTGCTGGGATCGAGCGGGACCCCCAGGAGGCTACATACGCAGGGCTTCGACCCTCACCACAGCTCCTCACTGAACTGGGCCTAAATGGCGAAACTGTACTTGGATGGAGGGTGTTTCCAAAAACAGTCCTGGGAGAAAGTGCATCTACGTTTGCTGCACAATTATTGCTCAAAATCTCTCTCTTGTCACTCAGATCTCAGAACTTAAAAGTCACCTCCGGGTGACATCACCACCACCCTCCAGCCCCCACCATCCTTAATGCAGTGCCCTTCGCTGTCTGGCATTTTTTACCCTCATTCATGTTCTGGTTTGTTTGCTTCTGTGTTTTAATTATCACCTGCCTTTTCTCACTAGGATAGAAACTGCGTGAGAAGAGGTACTATATACATTATCTCATTCACTCATTTAACTCTGCATCTAAAGCAGTGTTTAGTTCATAGTATGTGCTTAATAAATACTTAAATAAATATTAGTTGAACGAATAAATGAGTGAATCAGTTCTGTCTAACACAGCCTCGCAGAAATTCAGGTTCAAAGCTAAGTATTTCCACAGCCATGAACAGCCTATCCAGAGGAACACTTGCTTCACCCTCTTTTCTGTGGCCCTGACTTCCAAGTTAAATTCCATTAACATGATTATCCACATACCGCATATGCTGTTCCATGTAAACAATTTAAACTGCTTCGAGGGAAGATGTAGGGCATAAGTAAATAAATATTATCCTCCCTCTTCGCAGGATGAACACGTCGATCTATCTCACCTTCAGCGTGGCTCTGTCCTTTCAAGGCAACTTGCCCAGGACAGCCCTCTCGAGGTCTGAAGACAGGGACCATGAGCCCCATCTCCAGCTGTGACCGCGCTTCTCAAGGGTAAACCTGCCTGTGGTCTCAGGTGACACCCCTACATCCTGGTGTCCTCTAGCTGGATGACACCCTCCCTGAGTGGGGGCATCCAGGCTGGGTTAGGATGTCTCCCGCCTGGCCTCATCAGTCCACATCAGAACAGAGCCGCCCCAGCTGGTATTTCCACTTGTACCCACCTGGGGGTCGTCCTGTGCCACCAGCTGCATGGGAGGTGTGCTGGCCGTGGTAAGATAGAAATTTCTTGGAGCTCAGAATCCATGACAAGGTTAGTGTGCCCTGAGCTGGTTATTTCATTGTGTAATTTTAACTACCTACTATTATTTCTGATGATAAAAATAACATAAACTCACTGCAGAAAACAGAGAAAAGCACAAAAAGGACCGGAAATCACCTATACTCCTGCAACCCAGACATAACCACTATCGACATTTCAAAGTATTTCCTTCCAGTCTTTTTCCTACACCTGTGACTACACACAGACACATACGCACATCCTTTAGTTTAGCCTGGTTAGGATGCACTGAAGAGAGGTCCACTTCCTCTTAGCTTCTCTTTAGCATCTTGTGAGCATCCCCTACCCTCCCTATTAAGGATTCTTGGTGGGCGTGGTTTCAGTGGTTGTGTAGGAGTCCATCCTACAGATGAACCCAATTTCTTACATGTTCCATAGCAAGGGTGGACTCCTCGGGACCAGTCAGCCCTCCGTAAGGAAACCCCGTCCAAGGCGCAGGGGCCCACTCACCTCCTCGTTCTCTATCTTGAGCGTGGCCAGTCTGGACTGCAGCTGGTGGTACCGCATGAGCAATTCCGTCTGGACAGGCTGCTGGGCGCTGACCTGGCACACCTGCAGAAACGACAGTGCCGCCTGCAGAAGCAGGCCTGGAAAGGGCACGTGACCTGCCCGAGGTCACACAGCTTGTCCCCGGCAACTCCAGAGCCGGCCAGGGGCCAGGGGCCGCCTCCCACACTGCTGGGTGTGGCCTGCTGGTTATGGTCTATGTTTGTGCCGCACAGGATGGTTCACTACTCAGGGCCTGGACATAATCTCACTAAGTGACACTAACTGGTTAGTTTCCAGCAGGAAGTTGTAGTAAGGAAGCAACTGCCTAAGAGAAGCCGATGAAAAGAGCGAAGGATGGGCAACAGTGGAGTAGGCCCAGCAGGAAGATACTTGAGAGAGGCAGCAGCATGCTCACGGCCCTTCTTCCCTGGTCGGTTGTGGGTGGGTGGGCGCGTGCAGAAGCAAGGAAGATGAGAGAGAAATACTGTTCCCCCAGACCCACTCCACCCAGGGCTCTGTGACTGACTACCCGTGGGCTGGGCTGCCGGGTGTGACTTAGCTGAGGTCAGAACGGACGGCGGGGCTCTGTTCTTTATCACTGACTCGGCAGCCCAGACTTTGCAGCCACAGATGATGAGCCAAAGGGCTGGACCCGAGGGCAGAGGGATGGGGCAGGAGCTGCGGGGAAGCCCTGAAGAAGGCACCTCTTGCAAATGAAGAAAGTGGGCAGAGCCATCAGAGGGTCCAGCAAATACCATCTTCCAAGGTGCCTCCTGGCTCCTCCCTGCTAAGCAGGTGCAGCAATGGCCCAGCTGAGTCCCCAGTGGGATCCAGAGATGGGCTGGGTCCCCCCAGCTCTCGTGTGCACGGGTGGCATACGTCAGGTGGACAGAATGGGGCCACTAGGAGAAATGTCTGTGCACGTGTCCCTGGGAGTAGAGGTGGTGGAGACAGGGAGCAGGTATGACATCTGTGGCTGTCCTCCGCGGGTTCCAGGGACTAGGGCCTGAGCCCTAGAGGGAGGGAGGAGGACCAGGAAAAGCTCAAGGAGCTATTTGTGAAACTCAAGTAACTAGTGTGCTGTTTTGGGGTCAGTGGTAAGTGCCTTCTCCCATTTTTTTTTTCCCCAGGACATAATGAGGATCTTGAACAGGACAAGCCCTGAAGGAAACTCGGCTGGCCTGTATGCCCAGGGCTCCCAGCATTGGAGCACAGGCCAGAGTGGCTACGCTGAGGCGGTGCCCTCGGTGATCCAAGGCCATGGAGGGGAGGGTAGAGAATGGGAGACCATCGTCTATGTGCAGATGTGGGGCTCCCTCGGGGTCTTCTAGACACAACTGGGAACGGTTTTATGGGAAGCTAAGGTCCTGTAATTCTGCAGGTCAGGGATATGAGCTACCAAGATTGGGGTACTAGTGGTAAACTCCTGGGCTGGTGGGGTCCATGGACCAAGAACTTGACCCCAGGCCCCTGAGCTAACACTCCCCTGCCAACCGATGCTCTGGGAGCACACGGGAGACAGACAGAAGCACCCTGAGCGCGCGCTCCAGGGGGACGCCTACCTCATCCCCCATGTGAGGCTGGAACTCAAACTTGAGGGGGGGACAGAAGACCTGGTTGCACATGTCCATGACCGTGTGCTTGTCGCTTCGGGAGTCCAGGTTGTCCACCGCGTTCTCGATGACGTCCAGCCCCTCATGGCGAGAGGTCTCTAGGTTGTACTCGGCTGAGAGGTAGGTCCGGAAGGTGCGGGCCAGGCTGGCGTGAAAGCCCAAATCACAGCACTGGGGGAGAAGCACGCACAGGAGGGGCGGGTGAGGGTGGGGACCGCCACGGTGACTCACAGCTTCCTGTTTCACAGTCAGACCTCTTATGCTGTGGGCCCTGGTGCACTTTGGAATCCTACCACACAGCCCATGGCAAAGCCCTTGGAGGGCGCCAGGGGCTGCCTCTGGGCAGTGGCAGTGCTTCTCCAGGCTCCCCAGATTCACCACCTTCTTTTTCACCTCCAGGCCTTCACACACACATTCCCTCTGCCTGGAAGACTCTTCCTCTCTCCTCCTGCCTAAATACTCTTCCTTTGGGTTTCAGTTTAGAGGCCACTTCCTCCAGGAAGCCCTCCTTGATGTTCTCCCCACTCAGAGTTTACATCGTCAGGTGCCCCTCATCCAGGGGTCCATGTGTCCCTCCACCTCCCTCACTGTAACACCCGCCACTTGGCACTGAATTGCCTTTAACCCATCAGGATTGTGCAGGGTGAGCTCTGTGAGGGCAGCCCCATCTGCTCTTGTCCACTGCTGCACCTCAAGGCCCAGAGCTAACAGGTACTCAGCGAAAATTTGGTAAGTGAAAAACTGAAAGGGCTGTGTGAAAAAGAAAATTAAAAGGTAGGAAAGTGGGGGTTCTGGCCTCAGGGCACTAGGGAGGCACACGCAGGGCAGGAGCAGCTCCTCTCCCCGGGATGCTGGCATCCTGATGGGACACACCAGGACCAGAGGGAAGGCTGCATCCACCCTCACAGAAGCTTGAGAGAGCCCCTGCTGGGCCAGATCCCTGTCTGCGTGAAGACACGAGGAGCAGTCCCGGCTCCATCCCAGACGACAGAAGCCCTCCCTGATGGCACCACTCAGTACTCCTTCTCCGAGCCCAGCTGTCCCTCTAGTGTGTCCTGCACAGCTTGTACTCGGGAGTCAGCGTTCCATTTTCCTTTTGCTTAAACTGCCTGATTTCTCCCAAGATAACACCCCCCAAGTAAAGCTGATCTGTGTAATTCATTTTTTCTTCCATGTGCGTGTGTGTCTGGCAGAATGGATCCAGGGGCATTGAACATATAAAGGCACTTGGTAGGTAGAGGAGGGCACTTAGTAAACGCCCAGTGAATTACAACTGCCCAGCCCAAGTGTGTAGGGGCCGCAAGAGGCCCACTCCCACCCAGAGGGAGAAACATGAGGTGACACTCCTCTCCCAGGCTCCAAACGCTCACGGCCCATCCCCTCCATCAGGGCTCAAGGGGACAGTGGTCACTTGACGTGTCAGCTAAGGACACAGGCCAGCCCTCCCTCGGCTGACCATTCTCGCCAGGCAGGGCAGGGCCCTGTTCAACCCATGACTCCCCAGAGCTCACGTCAATCAGGTCAGAGACATCATGGATGTAGTATTTGCTTATAGCTGCGTTGGTGGCTGCCAGATTCAGCAAGTAGTCATTCCGGGCCTTGGTGCATTTCAGCTTGTTCTCGGAATACTTTGCCTGCCTCTGGAGGAAGGAAAGAGTGGGTGTAAGAGTCAAACCACTGATGGGAGCGATTTGGGATTTTCTGGATGGTCACTGTGAGCCATCAGTCCCCCGCACCCCCTAAATGTTACTCCATGTGCCAGGCAGATTAGATCTGTGTGCTCAAAAGCTCGTCTTACGTCGCACAAGTGCAGCCAACGACAACGCTGTCTGGTAAGCAGCAGCCGTTTACGGAGTCTGCCAGGGTGGGGTGTAAACAAGACACCGAGATCCCTCCTCAACACTGGCAGCATCTGCCCAAACCCCGCGGACGGCCTGCGAGGCCCTCCCAACCTGGCTCTTCCTCCTCCCTCCCATTGTCACCTCCGCTGCCCATCCTTTGAGAGGCCACGTTCATTCCTGCCTCAAGACTTCAGATTCGTGTCCTCCACCTGTCAGGTCATCCTCCCACGTCCCTGCGCGGCCTGCTTCTCCAAGTCATTCAGGTCCTCACCCACGGTCACACTGTCAGAGGGGCCTCTGATGACACCCTTGTCTGCTGTGTATCCCCAGCATCTCCACCACACCTCCCCCTACTCTAGCCTGTCCTATTTTTTCCACTTATTTAATCTCTATTCAATTTTTCGGTGATTGTTTCATTTTTAATGCATTTTTAAAAGATTTCTTTTTTTAAGAGTAGTTTGAGCTTCGCAGCAAAACTGAAAAAGAGGAAGGTACAGAGATCTCCCACACACCCCGACTCCCCCCCCACACACTGCCACCACTACTATCAGTGTCTACCACGAGATGGTACAGTTGTTACAACCGATGGACTTACACAGACACATCGTTGCCACCCAGAGTGCACAGTTTACCTTTGGGTTCACCCTTGGTGCTGCTGTACATTCTGTGGGCTGAACAAACGTGTAATGGTGTGTATCTGTCATTATAGTATCAGACAGAACAGTCTCTCCACCTTGACTCCTCTGGGCTCCACCTGATCACCCCTCCCGCCTTTTCACTGTTCCACAGCTTTGCCTTTTACATATAGCATGTAGCCTGTTCAAATTGGCTTCTTTCACTTAATAACGTGCATTTAAGGTTCCTCCCTGTCTTTCCATGGCTTGCTAGCTCATTCTTTTTAGCGCTGAGTAATGCTCCCCTGTCTGGAGGTACCAGTTACTTAGCCATTCACCTACATCTTGGTTGCTCAATTTTTTTCATAAGCACTTTATACCACCCAACATTATATTTTTTACCTCTTTGCTTACTTGCTGATTTTCAGTGTTCCCTGCTAGAAAGTGAACTATAAAGTCAGGGGCTTGATGGGCCTTGTTCGTGGCTGGGCCTACAGCACCCAGGACGGGCCCCACACAGGCAGGCATTACATGACTTTCACTGGCTGTCTGGATGTGAGTGGGGGCGAGACGGGGAGCAGGGGAGCCAGAGGTGGTCTTGGCGGGGAGCTGGATGGCCTCCCCTGGAAGCTGCTTCCATTCTAAGCCATCCTGGGCAGGAAGCAGTCAAGAGTCCATGAGTTGGAGACCTGTACCATTGCCCCTTTCAGACAGATGAGTCCTACTGCCGAGTAGAAAGACAGCTCTCCTTAAAAAAAAAAACAGGGTTTCTCCCTTCACCTAAGCACTCTCTATCTTCCTTACTCCAGGTCAAGTTCTTGAGCTGTTCAGCAGAGGTGCCCTCACAGTCAGCCTTTTCATTTTCTTCAGACATCTCTGACCTTTCTCCAGGCTCCACTTATTCCGAGAATTTCCAGAAACAAACTTCTGGCAGTTACCTCCTGTACCAGCCACACACCCAACCTCCACAGAGAGTTTTGATATTCCTGGCCCATTGCCAGGGGGCCACTATGACCCTGAGACCACTTTCAGCCCTTCGTGGACTCATAAAATTTTATACCTGGAAAAGATATTACAGATATCTTAGTTTAATTCACCATTTTATAGGTGAGGAAATGAAAACTGAAGAGTAGTGGGTTGTCCAAGAGCCAAATGGCTAATTAGCATACAACTCTGAACTGAAATTTAGCCTCCAGACCCCACCCCCGCCAGTGCTTTCTCTACCCCTGTATATATGACCCTGTGTTGTAGCTCTGTAATTCCCTGTCTCGTTATCTTATTGTTTAGATTTATTTTTAGGATATTCAAGACATTCTGTGCAACCATCACCACTGTCTAAGTTTAGAAGATTTTCATCTCCCCAAAAGAAACCCTGTCCCGTTAGCAGTCACTCTCCATTCTCTTCTGCCCCAGCTCCTGGTGACTAATAATCTACTGTCTGTCTCTGTGGATTCGTCTATTCTGGACATTTCAAATAAATGGAATCATTCAATATGTGGTCTCCTGTGACTGGTTTCTTTCACTTGGCATACTGTTCTCAAGGGTCATCCATCCTGTAGTCTGTATCCATTTCTTTTCATGGCTGAATTTTTCATTATAAGGACTGACCACATTTTATTCATCCATTCATCAGTGGATGAACATTCATTTATCTGGACTGTTTCCACTCTTTGGCTGTTATGCATAAGGCTGCTATGAGCATTCATGTGCAAGTTCTTGTATGGACATGTGTTCTAATTTCTCTGGGGTTGATACCTAGGAGTGGAACTGCTGAGTCTGGTGGTAACTCTATGTTTAACTTTTTGAGGAAGTGGCAGCACCACTTTACACGTTCTCCAGCAATGTATGAAGCTTCCAATTTCTCTGCATCCTCACCATCACTTGTTATTATCTGACTTTTTATTTTAGCCATTTTGGTGGGTGTGAAGCGGTATCTCACTGTAGTTTTGACTTGTATTTCCTTAATAACTCATAATGCTGATCATCTTTTCATGTACTTCTTGGCCACTCATGTATACTCTCTGGAGAAATATCTATTCAAATCCTTTGCCCATTTTTCAATTGCACCTCTGCCTGGTTGCTGGGGAGCAGATTTTTCTTTGCCTTTGGAAACTACCCAGAAACTTTAGGTTATTTGCCTCTAGTTACTTTTCCAGCTTATCCAGGTCCTGTTGGCTTTTTGTTCCCACTCAATCTCCTATCATTTTTAAGAGTTGTAGGATCCTATAATCATAGAATTAGTGTCATAGAAGCCCAAATAAACATCTGATACAATGTTTGGCAAATACAAAGAGCTCAGGAAATGTTTGCTGACTGCATGGAATGAATGAATGCAAGAATTCAACAAGAAAATCATAGCCTTTTAAGAAGAATGGCACCTTAGAAATAACCTAGTCTAGGATGACAAAAAGCAGCATGCACACTGCCCCTCTAAATTCCCTGGCCATGGCAGACATCATTAATTGATCACAGCACTGTCTTTTACTAAAGCCTGGGGAGGGCTCACAGTCCTCGGTACAGGGCTCTGATCAGAGTTGACTTCAAAGAGGATTTGTTTGTCATCACTGTCAGATGTTAGAACTGAAGTTTAGAGGGTTGTTGTAAATGGTGCATCTTTGAAACCCAGCCTGGTTGACTCCAAAACTCGCCCTTTCACCATGCCCTACAAAAGCAACTTTTCCAGCACCAACACACAAGGATTCTGAATCGCCTGACTTTGGCTTGGCAGTGGCAATTTCAGGATGGTTCTGTCCCTGGTTCCCAGGTGCTGGTTGGTAGCCCAGTGCTGTTCACTCTAGTTTGGACACACTAAGTCCGAATCAGTCCCACCAAGGTGACCTCCAGAGCAAGCCCCGCCTCCACAAATGCCTGGTGAGTCCTGCTGGAATGTGCCTGCTGGGCGTGAGTCTCCACAGTTCAGCTCTCTTGCCAGCTGAGCGCCTCTCCCTGCTGCCAACCCTGGCCCGAGGCCTAGCTAGTGCTAGCAGAGGCACGGCCAGCCCTGACTCCACCAGGACACTGACCTCTTACATCCCTAGACCCTCATGGTGCCCCCCCCTTCCTGTCCCACCCCGATACCTCCCATCCGGGGCCCTCACTCGCCTTCTCCTTCATCTTCTCAATCTTCTTCACAGAGCTGCGGCGCTGGGGCCGGTCCTCGTGCCGGAGCAGGTTCATGCTGAGGTCTCCTGACTTGTTGAACTGCTTCTCCTCCTGCTTCTCGGCCTCCTTCAGCTTGCTCTCCGCACTGATGCTCTCTGCGTGGTACATGTGGTAGGTTTTCATGACCTGGGGGCACAGGAAGGTGGGAAATCAACAGGCTGTGACAGACAGCCCTGGTGCTCCTGGCTTCCTTCCAAGTTCTCCACCCCGGTCAGCTCCGTCCCTGCCCTCTTCCCACGCCAGGCTCTGAAATCCCACAGCACTTTACTTCTGCACAAACTCTGCGGACTGGAAACAATGGTCACCATCAGCAGTTTCACCATCGCCATTATCAGCATCATCAGTGTCATTAAACCCTTACTAAGTGCCAGAAACAGACACAGTAGAGAGGAAATAGAAAAGGGTAACCCCAGGCCCCGGGCATGTGGGGGTTCTAGGAAGTGAAATGGTGACCATGCCTTCCCCAGCTGCCCTCTCCAGCCCTGCCAGCTGTGACACTTGCCTCCCTCTCAAGTACACCATGGGAACATCCTTCTTACTCACATGCAGATCATTTTCTCAGCTGTTTCCTTAAGTAAAATTGGCCTGCAAACAGCTCTGTTCCCAAAAGGAATATTATTGGATAACCTTATAGATATTGTTTGCTCTCAGAAACACTCACCCTTGGCTATAAAATGAATTCCTATCAAGCAAATTGCACTTTGCTATTCTACTTCCACATTAAGAGTTGGATATTGTTATAACAAGGGAATTTTTGAGTCAGAAGAAATCCGATACATCATTGAATCCAACCACCAAATTTTACAAATAGGGAAACTAAGGCGCAGAAGGACAAAGTGGCTTATCCAAGATCGTACAGCGTTACCAGCGCAGCCGTCAGACTTTACATCCATATGGTCATCATCACAGTCAAGATGCAGAACACTCTCACCACACCAAAAAGACCCCTTGTGCCCCTTTCCAGTGGGTCCCCGCCCCACACCCCAGTACCAGGTGATCTCTGATTTGCCCCTGTCCCTGTAGATTGGTTTTGTATGTTCTGGAACTTCATATACATAGACCCAAAGAGCATAAACTCTTTTAGGTCTACCCTTGTTCACCATAATCCTTTTGGAGATTCTCCCATATTGTTGCATGTACCAGAAGTTCTTTTCTGTTGCTGAGTAGTATTCCCATGTCTGGCTATACCACGATTTGTTTATCTAGTCAGATGTTTACGGTTTTTGGATGTTATGAATAAAGCTGCTAAGAATGTTCATGTACAATTCTTTATGTGGACGTATGTTTTCATTGCTCTTGGGTAAATACCTAGGAGTGGAATGGAGGATCATACAGTAAGTGTACACCTAACCACGTTAGAAATCTGGTCTCAGCCTTTTTTTTTTTTTTGGTTTGGGGTGTGCATAATTGGGTTTATTTATTTTTTAATGGAGGTACTGGGGAATGAACCCAGGACCTCGTGTATGCTAGGCATGTACTCTCCCACTGAGCTATACCCTCCCCCTGGTCTCAGACTTCCAATTCACCACTTTTTCTATGCTATCAGGCTGTTTCCTTAGTTCATTATCATTTGCTCAGATGTGAGTATTTCTGGCAGCCTTAGGGCAAGCTGGCCAGTCCCATGCCAACAGTATTCCATCTCCCAGTCCCCAGCTAGGAGTACACTCTTCCTTTGCAATATCAAGTGCATGATCATCTGTCTATGCTAAGAAGCACAAGGAACTTCAGAAATTCATGGCTCCTGAGCTTTGCTGGTTCTCTTCTCCTGTTATTTGGATAATTACAGCAGCTAATAGAGCAGAGGCTTCCAGCTAGGGATGGAATGTGCTCCTGACTAACCGGGCCCTCTATATCGAGGACCTTGGAATGAATTACTGGCTAACATTATAACCTTATTCATTCTCATTTAAAGCCTTGTGAGATGAGTTTATTAGAATGAGGAAGTCTTCTGTGGCCCTTATCATGAAATCACAACACTGATCTGTTGTTCAGGAAGCTCCCTTCGTCCTACGTCAGGAGTCATGGGGGCAACATCTCTTATACAGCACGTTAGGTAAGAATATGGAGTCTGGCCCAAACGTCTGGGCTGAATCCTGATGCTGCCACTTGCAGCTGTGTGACCTTGGGCAAGTCATGTAACCTCTCTGACCTCTGCTCCCTCATCTAGAAGATGGGGATAATAATGGCACCTACCTTGCAGGTTTGTTGTGAGGACTAAATGAGTTAATGTTTATAAGGCGCTGAGAGCAATACCACCCCATATGACTTCTGATTTGGGCTGAGGGTTTGAAAATCTTGAATTTACTTACTTGATTTCAGGAAAGTGCTTCTACATTCTAGGTAACAGTAGCTAATGTGAAAAAAAATTTATTACAGACCACGTTTCTCCCTGCTTTCATCTTGAAAACCTCCCCAAATTTCAAAACAATAAATGAAAAAACACAATCAACTTTTCTTCGTGGGTCTTGGTGGGAAGAGTTCTCTGCATCCCGCCCACTCGTGCTCACCTGCAGGTGCCCGAAAGCCTCTAGAGATGCCCTTCTTGCTGATTTCATCCTCTCCTATGCTGGTTCCTCTAAGCTTATTTCCAACAACTCAAGGGACCAGAAAGTGTGCCGGATCAACGTGTTCTCGACATCTAGTGGCCAAAGGGAATGTCTGCAGGTTTATAGGTAACTGAAGTGGTTGCCTACTTTAAAATATCTTTAAACCATGGCTCCGGAAACCCGAAGAATATAATGTGGCTAAGAGCTGGGAACGCCAGCTGAAGTCTGTCTCTGGGCCCCTTTCCCATTCTTAACCTTTCCTCTATTCCTCCAGATTCACGGACACCACTGGTTTCTTTGCTCCTTCACTGTGCTGCTGGTGCTGCTCATTTCTGAAGTCCACGTGGTTCCTGGGTTCAATGATTCCTGCTAAATCCCTTTCCCTTTTTCCTATCTCAGCGGCTGCTTATCGAACCATGAATTTATCCCCTGCTGTGGGTAGTTCAGAGGAAGAGAGAGTGTTTCCATTTGCAGCTACATCTTCCTGTCCAATCATCCATGCATCCATCCATCCACTTGCTCAAGGTCAGCATCCCAGCTGGGTGTTCTCAATCTCCCACATTTTCCACTGGTTACTTTTCTGCTCTTTTTGAACCACAGAGTATTCTTCTTGTCCTCCAACGAGACAGACTTCCCAGTACAGTTTCTGAACTGTGTTCCACAAACCCTGTGCTTGGAGAACATAGCCCAACCACCCTGGAGCCAAACTCTGTGTGATCCAACTGGGAATTCCACATCCCAGTGGTGAACTTGATCACCCTGGGTGACTTACGTCAGCTGCCACAAGAGCTCACCTGGGGACCTCTCTGAAAGGAGTCTGACTGCATGTGCCCAGAGTCCTCTAGGTGTTTTCTTTAATTATCCTTCAGTCAAGAGTCAAGAACAGTCTGCTCAATCCTGCCAGTCCAAGAGGTGTTCAATAATATTTTAAATTATCAGTTACTTCAGAGTTTGCAAGCCCCCTTTTTCTAGTATCCCTCAAGGAACATTTCAATTAATCCTCACCCCAAGCCTGTGGGGCAGCCTGATAACAACAACAACAACAACAGCGCTTACTGAGCATTTGGGACCCGCCAGGCCAGGCTCTCAGCACTCTGCATATGTTAACTTAGTTCTCACAAAATCCCTATGAGGTGGATGCTCTATTGTCCCCTCTTTACGAATGAGGAAACCACAAAATAGGGATGAAAGGATCCTCTACCCCATGGGGACTCCGGATTTTGAGACCCGACCCTCCCGCCATCTGCTGGGTGACTGCGGCAGAGGCTTGTCCTCTCTGTGCCACCGCCAGGTGAAGACCAGGGAGGGGAGCTGGGAAAGAGCTCCGCAGAGGTGACGGCAGAGGGACGGGCTGACCACAGTGCTATGCTAGGAAGGGGGCAGAGGTGGACACAGGCGTTCAGCTCAGGCCAAGTCACCGAGACCCATCTTCAACCCAGGATCCCTCAGAGGCACCCACCCAACTTACTGCCAGAAGGGGCTTCACTTTCCAGCCCTCCCAAACCTACCAGGGAGGGCCTCCCAGAACGAGCCCCGCACACGCTGAGAAGCACTGTGCAGGGACACGGAAGTTGAGACCACTGTTCTTGGACCCAAATCAGTTTCATAGGTTCTCAGAGGCCCTGCAGAAATCTTGGTGTATTAACTTGTGATGGAAGGAAACCGAGGCCCAGAAATAGCAAGCACTGTGGCCAAAGTCACACAGCAAGCCAGACAGACTACCAGGCCTTCCAAGCTGGGGACGTTGCCTTTTTTTTGATAATCATGCTGCCTTTGCCGTGTACACTTTGCCTTTTGCATCTTCCCAAATCCTCAGATTATGAAAACAGGAAAGTACTGTCTGCACAGCCCTTCGGATCTGCATTTAAATGCAAAAGATGGCAAAGGCAATCCAGAAGTTGACAGCATGAATACAGGGACGTGCTGGGGCAGGATTGGGATCAGTTCTTAGAAAACAGGTTCCCAACAGCGCAGGCCATGTACACTTCGTCCATCCCACAGGCGGGGCCATCCCTGGGCCACACAAGAGTTGTGTATGGGGTGAGACCCTGGGCCAGCACAGGCCAAAGGCATCCTTGAAGGAAAAGGAAAGTCCCCACATTTCACTCTGACCACCCACACTCTGTGTGGCCTACATTCTCTGTAGAACTTGTAATCACTGCCTTGTTGATTCTTTTTGCACATTTTTAAATGGTCTCACTCAACTAGAGGGCAAAGTCCATGAGGGCCAGGACCTTGTTCACCACCACATTCCCTATATTAGAGCAGAGACTGGTACCCAGCAGGTATCAATATGTATTTGCATGAAACAGAAGCAGACTCACAGACATAGAAAACAAACTTATGGTTACTGAGGGGAAAAGGGTTGGGAAGGGATAAATTGAGACTTCGAGATCTGCCGGTACTAACTATTATATATAAAATAGATGAACAACAAGTTCATACTGTATAGCACAGGGAACTATATTCAACATTTTGTGGTAACCTATGGTGAAAAAGAATTCGAAAACATATTCATGTATGTGTACAGCATATGCCAGAAATTGACACAACATTGTAAACTGACTAAACTTCAATTTT